AATAACATAAAACTAATAACAACAACATAATCCTCATTAACAACAACAACAACAACAACAACGAAGTCAACAACAATAGAATTAATAACAACAATAATAATAACAACAACAAAACCGACAATAAAAAATGGGCAGAAAAAAAATTAAAATCTCTCAGATAACAGACGAGAGAAACAGACAGGTTAGAAAAAAAAAGTAAAAATAAATAAATAATAATAATAATAATAACAATAAAAATAATAATACTTAAATAATAATAATAATAAGTGAACTTTTAATACATATTATTCACTCATTATATAGCCATTATTTTAGATTAATTCAAATGAGATTTCTTATTAGAATGAATGATTTTTTTTTTGCTAAATAGTTTTTTATTTTTCATTTTTTTCATTATTTGTTTTAATTTGAGAAAAATAAATTGTGAAAGGAAACGAAATGAATAGGAGTTAATTAATTTTAATAAATTAAATCAATTAAACAATATTATTACCATTTTATTTTTTCATTTAAAAGTGAAAAGTTTTAAGCATTTGGGTGTGTGGGGTATTGTTTTAATTGTACCTTTATGCATGGTGTCTAGTTTGTATTGTATAATGTTTGTATGTGATGTTTGTATTTTGTGTGTGTATATTATGTTGTATATCATTTTTGTATCCTTCACGTTTGTATAAGATAATATTTTGATATAATATTTTTGTATTTATTGCTTGTATATCATGTTCTTAACTTTTGCTTGTATGTCATGTTTGTATCTATTGTTTGCATATTACGGTTGTTTGTATTGTGTTTGTATTTTGTCTGTTTATAATGTTTATAGAATTATAATACTCGTGTATTTGTACGTGTCTGTCACCTAAGAATACCATAAAAAAATACGATAAAAAAATTTTTTTTTTCTTCCTTCGAATTCAACAAAACAACTTCTCTGTGAATAAAATGTTAAAATGCATAGATATTAATTTATTTTTCGAAAAAAACTTTTCTGTTTGAACGGAAACAAAGAATTAATATCGTTTAGAAAATAATTGCAACATTCAAACTCAAAAAGTTAGTATATATACAAATGTTGTTTCTACGTATACATGCACTTGTATATACAAACATTTGTAATTTAGTTGACAAAAAAAAACATTTGTATATATACGAATGTTTGTATACACAAACATTAAGCCGCATAATGTTTAAAGTTTAACTCCACATTTTACATTGAATCAATAAACTTGCGTAGAGTTTAGTGCAGTTGTTGAGTTCAGTTCATATTTCGTTTTGTACTTGACTCATTAACTACGTCAAAACGTAAAAATATTTCCCACACACACACACACGCACGCACACACACACACACACACACACGCACACACACACACGCAAACACACACACAAATCAACACATATTCAATATAAAAACTATTCACACAATCAAATACATACATGCATACATAAATACATACATACACACACACATACATACATACATACATACATATATATATATATATATATATATATATATACATATATATATATACACGCGAAAACGCATATTAAACAATTTTAAAAACGCGAACGATGCAATTTATAGATACAGAGATATAGAAGAATAAATTTATTTTATGCAAATTTCAACAAAAACTCAACGCAAGCAATTACATAGATGATAAAAACTAACAGACAGACAGACTGATAAACAGACAAACAAACAAAAAAGACAAACAATCAAACAGACAAACAAACATAAAACAAACAAATGGACAAAAAACATACATAGAAACAAAGAAAGAAGCAGATTAAAACACAGACAAACAAACCAAAAATCAAACATGACAAATCAAATCATGACTTAAGACATGAACTCGTAAAGCTATTTTTAGCACATCATTTTTTCGTCTGCACACGCCTCGTCATTCGATTTAAAACACTGTACTAAGGATGACAATAAACAATTCACATTTTTGTGTAAATTATTATCAATTTTTATTATTGTAAACATCATTCATCAATATTATTCATTTTCTTTATATTTGTTTTCATTCTCAGAAGTCTCATCACAGAATCTACCATTAAAAATGATGAGCATTTAGATTGAAAAAAAACTGTGTCTTAGAAACATTCAATCAAAAATGAAGGTAGAGAGTAGAGACACGACTTGAAAAACCTTTTCGACAAACACGAGAAATCATTTTGTTGATTTCAAACATAAACATTCTAACGATCATTAACCAGTTCATAAATACACATACATACACACACAAACAAACACACATACACAATAAACACGAACACTTGCACACACATATACTTCTACACACACACAACATACATATATCAATAACTCAAAAGGCAAAAGAGTACATTACATCGTTCAGATATGTTTAAAATACACAAAAATTTTGATTGGTCATTTGCATGAAATTTTTTTTTTCAAATGTTTGTTACATACACATACTCCACATACAATCTATATATACATACAAACATATATACAAACTATACAAATACATACACAAGTATTACAAACATACAAACAAAAGTGTATCAAATATTCATACTAATTAAACTATACAAACATACAAAATCGCTTTTGCAAACATACCACCTATATGGAAACATACATATACAAACATGTATACATACAAACATACATAAAACATTTACATGCACATACAAACATACATGCAAACGACAAGTATTTTCATGAATGACCCGTACAGAGAAGCCGATAGCTTCTACTGATGACGTCAAATGGGTTGTATGCTTGCACAGCTTCCTTTGCAACCTCTGCAACCTTGCTGCTCTTCTCTGTATGTTTGTATACGTGCTTGTATACATGTTTGTATGTGTGTTTTTGTTTGTATGTTTTTTTGTGTTTGCATGTTTGTTTGTGTGTGTTTTTATGCTCTGCATGTTTGTATACGTGTTTATATATATATGTTTGTATACGTTTATATATATATATGTTTGTATACATGTTTGTATGTGTGTTTTTGTTCGTATGTTTTTGTGTTTGTGTGTATTTGTATGTTTTGTATGTGTTGTTTGTTTGTTTGTGTGTGTGTGTGTGTGTGTGTGTGTGTGTGTGTATGATTGAGTATGTGTGTTGTTTTTACGAGATTTCTTCACATTTGTACGCGTTCACATATGTTGTCTCTTTATTACACGTATGATGAAATTGTATATGGGTTTAAATGTTTGTATAAATGTATGTTTATACTTGTATATAGGTTTGTACATTTGTATAAATGTATAAATTTATGTATGTTTGTGTTGTTTGTTGTTGTGAACTTTTGTGTGCAGTTTTGAGTGCCTATACCATATTTGTTAGCGTTTCAAAGACATTTTTTGATGAACCGCCAGGCGTATTCTATGGTGAAATTGATAGCGAACGTGTTGTTTTTGTTCAAGTGTTCGATTTTTTTCATTTGGTATGATGTTAAGATGCGTGTTTGTATGTGTATATGTATGTGTGTGTGTGTGTGTGTGTATAAGTATGTATGTTTATTTGTAAGTATGTATGTTTATTTGTAAGTATGTATGTGTATATACCTATGTATCATTTTATGTTTGTATGCATGTTCATGTGTTTATGTGTGTATGTATGTTCGAACACTATTACTCTGTTTATTGCATTTAAGAGCAGTTATATGACTTGAAGTGCTTGTTTGCATATACAACTTTGTTTGAGTATATGTGTGTATGTATGCGTGTGTATGAGTGTATATATGCGTATTTGTGTGTGCCTGTTTGTGTGTATTTTATGTGTGTGTGTGTTTGTATGTGTGCTTTTGTTTGTATGTGTGTTTGTATGTGTGAATGTGTGTTTG